GCTCATAGCTGAGCGGACTAGAATACCTCCCGTTGCCGAGTCGTATCTAAGGTCCGTCCTATTTACTGGAGGAGTGAACAACGTTTCCATTGCATAAGAACCTTACGGGAGGGTAATGATTGTTCCAGGTATTAGTCAGACCCTCAGGCGTTACTAGGGAAGCTAAATTATGGCTTGTGAACAACTTTATATTTTGATTGTAAAACGCATGCAAATATTAATTAATGGTCTTAATTTATTTTCTTTGGCAAGTGACCATATGGTATAAGCGGATAATGCCCGACGAGGTGTCCATTATCAGAAGTTAATGGACTTCGCGGAAGCAACCGTCCTCCGCTTCGCGTCGGACGGTTCACGCCTCCGCGTCATCCATTAACTTCTGATAATGGACACCTCGTCGGGCATTATCCCTTACATATATATATATATATATATATATATATATATATATATATATATATATATAATGAAACGGTTCTCTATTGTATTGATTACCTATTGTTGATGATCAGTTCATTATTAAATTGATTACCTATTGTTGATGATCGGTTCATTATTGTATTGATTACCTATTGTTGATGATCGGTTCATTATTGTATTGATTACCTATTGTTGATGATCAGTTCATTACTGTATTGATTACCTATTGTTGATGATCGGTTCATTATTGTATTGATTACCTATTGTTGATGATCGGTTCATTATTGTATTGATTACCTATTGTTGATGATCGGTTCATTATTGTATTGATTACATATTGTTGATGATCAGTACATTATTGTATTGATTACCTATTGTTGATGATCAGTACATTATTGTATTGATTACCTAGTGTTGATGATCAGTTCATTATTGTATTGATTACCTATTGTTGATGATCGGTTCATTATTGTATTGATTACCTAGTGTTGATGATCAGTTCATTATTGTATTGATTACCTATTGTTGATGATCGGTTCATTATTGTATTGATTACCTATTGTTGATGATCGGTTCATTATTGTATTGATTACCTATTGTTGATGATCGGTTCATTATTGTATTGATTATCTATTGTTGATGATCGGTTCATTATTGTATTGATTACCTATTGTTGATGATCGGTTCATTATTGTATTGATTACCGCGTGGCAGGTCGCGTCTCAGCCTATCAGAGAAATGAATATTCATGAGCAAGCTACAACCTTTGCCTTTATCAAATCTATTGATTTATTTTTCACCATGAGAGGAAGTGACTTTAAGATCTTCCATAAAGTGAACTAAGCAGCTTTCACAAAGATTGAGTTTCTAATTTGAAATGTATTTTAAATATTGATTGATGTGTTACAATATGTTTGATATTTTGGCCAACGTTTGTGTCCGCCTAACATGTGAGCTGATTTAAAGCAGATTAATATTATATCCATGAATGTGGTGTGTGGAGAAGCTGGTCTGGGTCTGAACTGGTCTGGGTCTGAACTGGTCTGGGTCTGAACTGGTCTAGGTCTGAACTGGGCCGGTTTTGAACTGGGCCAGGTCTGAACTGACAAGCCGCTCAACCTCTCGTCTGAATGTGTTCCTCACACCTGTGGAGGCTCAGAGGGTGAACCTCCAACCAGCACCAGCATCGCTCCACCCGGTCCTCCACCAGAGGGTGAACCTCCAACCAGCACCAGCATCGCTCCACCCGGTCCTCCACCAGAGGGTGAACCTCCAACCAGCACCAGCATCGCTCCACCCGGTCCTCCACCAGAGGGTGAACCTCCAACCAGCACCAGCATCGCTCCACCCGGTCCTCCACCAGAGGGTGAACCTCCAACCAGCACCAGCATCGCTCCACCCGGTCCTCCACCAGAGGGTGAACCTCCAACCAGCATCGCTCCACCCGGTCCTCCACCAGAGTGTGAACCTCCAACCAGCACCAGCATCGCTCCACCCGCTCCTCCACCAGAGGGTGAACCTCCAACCAGCACCAGCATCGCTCCACCCGGTCCTCCACCAGAGGGTGAACCTCCAACCAGCACCAGCATCGCTCCACCCGCTCCTCCACCAGAGGGTGAACCTCCAACCAGCACCAGCATCGCTCCACCCGCTCCTCCACCAGAGGTTGGTGGGCCAGAGTGTGGGAGACGGAGGAGGCGGTGATGAGGACCCTTATCAAAAGCTCCTCAAGATGGAGACCGAGAGGGCAGTCGAACAAACAGAACCGAACATAAAGCTGTTGGAAAGCTCTGCCCTCTGAGTGGGTCAGGTCCGGTTTTAGTTGGTGGACACATTATTTGAAATGTCGGTTCTGTTGGACTTAAAGTTTGTTTGGAGCGTTCCTGTTGTCTCTCTCTGATGTTTTGGTTCATGCAAGTTACAATGTTGGAAACTAGAATTTGAGAAATAGGTCTATAATTAATTGTTACTCTTATTTACAGCAGTTTCAGAAAGTGAGGTAAAATATTTTACTATGCTTTACATTTCTTACAATTAGGCTGCTTTATTATTTTTAAATATACATTTTTTTTAAATATTTATATGTTAAAAGTGAAACACTAACACTTTAGATTAAGTGTAATGAACATCTTGAGTAACAATATCTGGAGAAGTGGAGCTGAGACTTAATCTAAATGAATCAATCCAAGTGAAATCCACCTCTGAGGTGGGATCCAAATGATCCTGAAATGTTGGTATCAAGTTGATCCAGAGATCTGCCTCAACTTTTGAAATTCCCAAATCCAGCCTTTAATCTGGATTCAGGGGAGGATTGGATTACCGGAGCAGAATCCTGATCTTCAGGATCAGGATTATCTGGATCTGTGTTGAAATACCCAGTTTTCAGATCAGATCTAGATTTAATCCAATCCCACCAGGATAATCCTGTCAGATCCCTTTTGAAATACTGGGCCCTGGTGTCCATACTGCGCCGTAAGCTGCACTAAATACTGCACAGCTCTCCTGTTGACTCCTATGCAGACTAGAGTGAGGAGACCCAACCAATATGGCGGCGACGCTGGGTTACGTTCCAGCACGTCATGAGGCGTCTACGGATATTATGTCTATGTACTGACTCCTCTTCACACCTTCTGGACCTTGACAAATGTGCATAAGTAATTCCTGGGATCGCGAGGCTTCATCTGTCCATTCTGAGGGGGGGGGGGGGGGGGGGGCTAGAAGAGAAGAAAGTTGTTCATAATCCCAGAGGTTATAGAGTAGTATGTGAAGTATACATACAATAAATCATTTGATGGTCAAGCTTCATCTGTCCATTTTGAGGGGGGGGGATACAAATTATGGCAGACAGGTAAACAGTCTGAAATAATAAGGTGTGTGTGTGTGTGTGTGTGTGTGTGTGTGTGTGTGTGTGTGTGTGTGTGTGTGTGTGTGTGTGTGTGTGCGTGTGTGTGTGGGGAGGTGTGTGTTTCTTAACGACGATTGACTGAGCCCTAAAACTGCTCATTTAGCGACGTCAGTTTTCCCCCCCCTGCTGGCTCCTCCCCCCCCCCAGCCTACAAGCCCCTCCCACGCCCCACTAGCCCCCCCCCCCCCCCCCAGCCTGCTAGCTCCTCCCCCAGCAGAGCTACGGGATGTGAGCACAGGGCTCGGACCGCCGGGTGCGTGTGTGTGTTTCCACGCATCGGTTTTTCATTTTGAACGACGTCTATTATCAGACCGAGTCGCTTTCTCACTTCTGGAGAAGAAACGGAAGAGGCGAAAAAGAAAGAAAGTCCAAACGGCGGCGAGGGGGCGAGGGAGCGACGTGAAACCGCCGCTCCACATCACAGGAAACTTTTCCTTTTCAATGTATTCCTCCCCGGCAGTCAGAGTGCCGCGGGCTTGTTGTTGTTGTTGTTGTTGTTGTTGTTGACTCTGCTTATATCTTTTATTTAATATTTATACATCCATAAACATATTTCCCTCCGTGGCTCGGCGCCGGAGGCCCGCGTGTTGCTGGCGGAGCGGCGCGGCGTCCGCGTCTCTCATCTCTTATCTCTTATCTCTCATCTGCGGATCAGAGGAGAACCTCGTCCGACGCGGCGGCGCGTCGACCTTCATGCCGTGTCACCGCCGTGACATCACTTCCTGTTCCTCAGAGACAAACCCTGGAGAGGGCACTGCTGTATCGATGCTATGGTGGCGGCGCTGCGGGAGGAACTGTCTTACTGTATGTTACGCTGTTTTAGTGGTTGTTCACACACACGCACACACACACACGCACACACACGCACACACACACACACACACACATGCACACACACACACACACCGCCACCACAGCACCAACCAGTGGCGGTTTTAGGCCGTTTTTGGGGGGGCTTCAGCCTCGAAGAGACGCAAGTCCTGGCGTGAGTTGTGATGTGAAGTGTAACTTCCGGAGGCTAGAGTCGTGGGTCGTCAGCTGGGTCTGGGTTCGAGGCCCGGCTAGAGTCGTGGGTCGTCAGCTGGGTCCGGGTTCGAGGCCCGGCTAGAGTCGTGGGTCGTCAGCTGGGTCCGGGTTCGAGGCCCGGCTAGAGTCGTGGGTCGTCAGCTGGGTCTGGGTTCGAGGCCCGGCTAGAGTCGTGGGTCGTCAGCTGGGTCCGGGTTCGAGGCCCGGCTAGAGTCGTGGGTCGTCAGCTGGGTCCGGGTTCGAGGCCCGGCTAGAGTCGTGGGTCGTCAGCTGGGTCCGGGTTCGAGGCCCGGCTAGAGTCGTGGGTCGTCAGCTGGGTCCGGGTTCGAGGCCCGGCTAGAGTCGTGGGTCGTCAGCTGGGTCTGGGTTCGAGGCCCGGTGAGAGACATCTCTGTGGCGCTGGCTTATTTCTATGTGACGTGAATTGTGAAGTACACGTGCAAATTCTGTCCGTTTCACACCAGGTGTCTTGTTGGCGCAACGGGGAGAGCCGTGCGCTCTGAGCTCCAGGGAGTGGGGGTTCAAGTCCCGGCAAGGCCGATCTCCCGGGGTCAAGTCCCAGTGAGGGAGTGTTCTGCGGTTTCATCTTATTTCTACATGAATTGTAATGTCAAATACAAGTGGGACTTTCCAGCACACCCCAGCGGGCGTCCAGGTGGCGCAACATGGAGAGCTGCAGGTTGTTGGCCTGCAGGCCAAGGGTTCAAGTCCCGGCATGGGACATCTTTGTTGTTTCCTCTTCTGTATTGTAATGTCAAATACAAGTGTGACTTCCCGACAGGTCCTAGTGGAGGTCTTGGTGGCGTGATGGATAGAGCTGTGGTCTGCTGCTCTGACCTCTGACCTGGTATCTAATCCTGGTAGTGGGACTGGTTGGGGATGCCAGTTATTGACAGAGGGCTGTTGGAGATGTAGTATGACACTCCTGACATACCACAACAGTCAGGACACAGACGACTCCAACATCCTGGTCGCCGGGTCCAATGTCTTGTTCGCACCAACATCCGGCTGTGTGTGTGTGGAAGACCGGAGACCCCGTTCGCGGGGTCTCCTGCCGTGGTACAACGGCGGTCGGTGGGAGACCCAGCGAACCGGACGTAGGAGTGAACAAGACAATTGAGGCCAGCCAAGACCAACATTTTGTTCACCGAGTGAACAAAACATTGGGTCTCCAACATCCTTTTCACCGGGAAACCAACTGCTGTGGTACCACGGCGGTCGGAGACCCGGCGAACAGGATGTTGGAGACCCGTCTAACTGGGACACCTGTGTCCCTGACTGTCGCGTATGTAAGGAGTGTCACACTACCAGGATTTGATACCAGGTCAGTCAGAGCAGCAGACCACGGCTCTATCCATTACGCCACCAAGACGCTCTGCTATGACCTGTAGGAAAGTCACACTTGTACTTGACATCACAATACACAAGAGGAAACCAGAAAGATGTCCCTCGCCGGGACTCGAACTTCTGGTCTACAGAGCGTCGACAAACAACCTTAACGCTGCACCACCAAGACGCCAGCTGCGGTGTGGTCGGAAGTTATACTTGACCTTACGATTCACAGGACTTAGAAATTAAAGACCTGCAGGGAAGTCACGCTTGTGAAGAGGAAACCTCGTAGAGGTCCCTCGCCGGGACTCGAACCCTGGTCTACAGAGCTGATAACCTGCAGCGCTCTGCGTTGCGCCACCTGGACAGCAGCTAAGTTGTGGTCGGAAGTTATACTTGACCTTACGATTCACAGGACTTAGGACTTAAAGACCTGTAGGGAAGTCACACTTGTATTTGATCACAACACACAAGAGGAAACCACTAGATGTCCCTCGCCGGGACTCGAACCCCCGGCCTGCAGGGCCAACAACCTGCAACGGTCTGCGTTGCGCCACCAGCTAAGGTGTGGCCGGAAGTTATACTTGACCTTACAATTCACATGACTTAGAAATAGTCAAATTTGTATTTGATCCCAATGCACAACAGGAAACCCTCGCCAGGACTCGAACCCTCGTCTTCAGAGCTGATAACCTGCAGCGCTCTGCGTTGCCCCACCTGGACGCCCGCTGTGATGTGCTGGAAAGTCCCACTTGTATTTGACATTACAATTCGGCCCCAAGAGTCCTCTTCTTATGTCTCGTTGTCCCGGGCAACACAGACTTCCTGTGCCTTTGGAAACGAGAGCAGAGCAGAGAGACAGAGGCGGGGTCGCGACTTAGTCAGACGTAAGGCCGACCGGACTTAGTCAGACGTAAGGCCGACCGGACTTAGTCAGACGTAAGGCCGACCGGACTTAGTCAGACGTAAGGCCGACCGGACTTAGTCAGACGTAAGGCCGACCGGACTTAGTCAGACGTAAGGCCGACCGGACTTAGTCAGACGTAAGGCCGACCGGACTTAGTCAGACGTAAGGCCGACCGGACTTAGTCAGGTGTAAGTCTGACCGATCCGCCGCTCACCTGGTGGAGGACAGTTGTAAACAGTCGGTGACTCCAGCAGTACAGTCGGTTGGTTTGGATATCTCGTCTTAAAATGCATTTCCACTTTTTAACCTTTTCTTTTAATTCCACTTCTGGAGTTGGTCTTCCGTTTTTTATTATTTGAAGTGTTTCTGTGAAAGGCCGCCTTGAAAAAGGCGATGCTACCAAGCTAGCCACAGCGTCACTCTCGTTTCCGCCATTTCCCTCTGCCTCCAACCGCTCTCACCAGTCCCATGTTCTTCATGAAGGCCGACCATCTTTGGGTTTTTCCCGCCCACTTACATTACATTACATTACATTACATTTAGCAGACGCTTTTATCCAAAGCGACTTACAGTTGAGGAAGACAATCAAGTTTCAGTAACATAAGATTTGACATGGTTACTATGGTTACTACATGGTTACTAGAGCATTAAAGACAACGGCGATTCAACTTCAATAGCATCAGAGTGATCAACAGCTTCACTAACAGTGAACAGAGTGAACATCATGGCAGAGTTAACCGTTTTAAAGAGTTAACCGTTTTAAAGAGTGAACCGTTTTAAAGAGTGAACCATTTTAAAGAGTGAACCGTTTTAAAGAGTTAACCGTTTTAAAGAGTTAACCGTTTTAAAGTGTTAACCGTTTTAAAGAGTTAACCGTTCTTTCCACCGCAACGCTAACACCGCTATCATCTGAATATCTCCAGAGCATCAGTCTAAAACACTGTTGATATGTTTGGCTTCAAATCAAATGTATGAAAGTGTAGAAATCGTCAGAGTGTCCACTGTGCTCCTCCACTCCCAGCAGCTCCCAGAGTCATACTGGGAACCAGTTACCTATGGTTACCATTTAACACCACTCTGTACAACACTCACTGCTGTAATTAAAATGTAAAACAGTGCAGTGAGTAAAGGTTCAGTCTGTCTTTAGGGGACGTAATGAGGAAATCACTGCAGACACCAAAAGGTCAAACAAATATTTACAGCATTTGTTACTGTAAATAGCATCTCCTCCTCCTCCTCCTCCTCCTCCTTCTTCTTCTTCTTCTTCTTCTTCTTCTTCTTCTTCTTCTTCTTCTTCTTCTTCTTCTCCTCCTTCTTGGTTTATCCTGGGGGCCATGATTGCTCTGCGCCACGTGGTCTGGAGCCGGGACAGCGGGTCTAGGATCACGGTCCTGGTTTATAGAGCCTCCTGGAGCCGGGACAGCGGGTCTAGGATCACGGTCCTGGTTTATAGAGCCTCCTGGAGCCGGGACAGCGGGTCTGGGACCACGGTCCTGGTTTATAGAGCCTCCTGGAGCCGGGACAGCGGGTCTAGGATCAGGGTCCTGGTTTATAAAGCCTCCTGGACCCAGGACAGCGGGTCTGGTCTCTAAAGCCTCCTGGAGGCGGGACAGCGGGTCTAGGATCACGGTCCTGGTTTATAAAGCCTCCTGGAGCCGGGACAGCGGGTCTAGGACCACGGTCCTGGTTTATAGAGCCTCCTGGAGCCGGGACAGCGGGTCTAGGATCACGGTCCTGGTTTATAGAGCCTCCTGGAGCCGGGACAGCGGGTCTAGGATCAGGGTCCTGGTTTATAGAGCCTCCTGGAGCCGGGACAGCGGGTCTGGGACCACGGTCCTGGTTTATAGAGCCTCCTGGAGCCGGGACAGCGGGTCTGGGATCACGGTCCTGGTTTATAGAGCCTCCTGGAGCCGGGACAGCGGGTCTAGGATCACGGTCCTGGTTTATAGAGCCTCCTGGAGCCGGGACAGCGGGTCTAGGACCACGGTCCTGGTTTATAGAGCCTCCTGGAGCCGGGACAGCGGGTCTAGGATCACGGTCCTGGTTTATGAAGCCTCCTGGAGCCGGGACAGTGGGTCTGGGATCACGGTCCTGGTTTATAAAGCCTCCTGGACCCAGGACAGCGGGTCTGGTCTCTAAAGCCTCCTGGAGGCGGGACAGCGGGTCTAGGATCACGGTCCTGGTTTATAAAGCCTCCTGGAGCCGGGACAGCGGGTCTAGGATCACGGTCCTGGTTTATAGAGCCTCCTGGAGCCGGGACAGCGGGTCTAGGACCACGGTCCTGGTTTATAAAGCCTCCTGGAGCCGGGACAGCGGGTCTAGGATCAGGGTCCTGGTTTATAAAGCCTCCTGGAGCCGGGAAAGCGGGTCTAGGATCAGGGTCCTGGTTTATAGAGCCTCCGAGCCGTTTAAAGAGTTAACCGTTATAAAGAATTAATCGTTTTAAAGAGTACGGTTATAAAGAGTTAACCGTTTTAAAGAGTTAACCATTTTAAAGAATTAACCATTTTAAAGAGTACGGTTATAAAGAGTTAACCGTTTTAAAGAGTTAACCATTTTAAAGAGTAGGCTATGGTTATAAAGAGTTAACCGTTTTAAAGAGTTAACCGTTTTAAAGAGTTAACCATTTTAAAGAGTACGGTTATAAAGAGTTAACCGTTTTAAAGAGTTAACCGTTTTGAAGAATTAACCATTTTAAAGAGTACGGTTATAAAGAGTTAACCGTTTTAAAGAATTAACCATTTTAAAGAGTAGGCTACGGTTATAAAGAGTTAACCGTTTTAAAGAGTTAACCGTTATAAAGAATTAACCATTTTAAAGAGTACGGTTATAAAGAGTTAACCGTTTTAAAGAGTTAACCGTTATAAAGAATTAACCGTTTTAAAGAGTACGGTTATAAAGAGTTAGGCCAGAGCCCGTCTACGGAGAGCCTGTCCACTCCCTATTAATGCTGCGTTCCAGGCAACCCGTAACCCGTGATTTCACGACTTCATACTCACGACTCACGACTTGTTAGCGTTCCAGGCAAGTTACGACTAACGAAGTCGTAACAAACAAACAAACCAACCTGCGGCTCTGTTTTGATGGTGTCCGCGCCACCAAGCCAGATCTGCTCACAGGTGCAATGACTTTTATGTTATTTTACTTACACAGCAGAGCTTGGATTTAACGTTAGTTGGCGATTGATAGCTGATAGCGATTGAATAAACATAAACATACACTTTAGTACTCCACACTCGTATGTGTTTTATTTTGATTACAATGTGAGGAATTACGTTACGTTGCCTATTCATGTCTATCTATGTATGTTATCTCATCGTTGGTCACCGGTGTCTGCGGAGCATCAGGGGAAGCCATTGTTGTTTACGTTCGTGACGTCAAAAAACGAACTGGGAGTCCATCGATCACATACGAGTTCACGGGTCGTGAGTTACGAGTTTGACTGCCGTTCCAGAGCACTTTCACGGGTAGGAGGTCGTGAATTCAC